CAATTAGTTAACAAAATAAGTCTAATGAGAGCATACATCAATCTAGAGAATCATAGAATTTGCAATAATAAGTGTGAAGTATCAAATCAAGAATAGATTGTCTACCTATCTACAAACATAAATTAAATTGTAGAACAACCCATCAAGTATAAGTATAATCCATCAAATTAATTAACAAACCCATTCAATGAAAACCATGCTTAGCCATCACTAAATTCTTAATTAATCACACATAGATATGCAACCAACATAGAGAATCTAGTGTAGAGATCAATTCCCAAATAATCACATATAAGACAACATGTAATTAAAATAAAGAATCACTAGAAATAATTGAATTAACAATCTCAAGGCTAACCACTAATCACAACAATATATATATAAATCCCCAAAAATAGAAATACAAGGGTTTAGATTACACAAGACTTAGGGCTCATCCAAGCCCTAAGTAAAGAGCCTAACCAATCATGAAGGAGGTGGATGTGGTCATGAAGCCCTTAAGGGCAAGCTCCAAACATGGCACCATCTTCTTCTTCCTTCTTTTTTTTTTTTTTTTTTTTTTTTTTTTTTTTTTTTTTTTTTTTTTTTTTTTCTTTGAAGCTCTAGAGATAGAGAATATGTGGATCTAGAGACGTGTTCTTGAGATGTACCTCCATTTCCCTCTTTTCTTCTAACCTTAATCTCTAATTTTCTAGAGAGAGAAACTATAACAATATATATCAATGACAATGTAAAAATATGAATCTCTCCACAAAAATGGTTCAATCCCTTTTATATACAAGGCTTTTAGAGCCCAAAAATGTGAGAACTCGGCCCTAGGATCTCCCCTTTCAAGCACAGCCCGAGTTGGTTCGAAATGAGCTTTAGATCTGTTTTTTTTTATAACTTCTGCGAACAGTTCGATCGATCCAACCAACAGTGTGATCGATCAGAGGTATAGTGTGATCGTTCAAAGGTATAATGTGATCGATCAGGGTTCAATCGATCACACTATGATCGATCCAACTTGGCAGTTTTCAGCATCAGCCTCCTTTTGCTCCAGCTTCTCACCAAGACTTCGTTTGACTCCAAAAAAGTCTTAATGGACTGAAATTAGCCTGTTTGAACCTTATTGACCTAAAAATCGACAAAAACATAAATTAGTACTAAAACGGAAAAATAAGATTAAATAAGGTCCTAGAACATTCAAGATTAAGGGATTTAAATGTGCACTTTTCAGCGCTTATCACAGATCATCGAGGGAAATGGGGTTAAAGCTGAAAGCTAATGAGTCATCTTAATGGACACCCAACTTAGCTGACCGGAGATCCCAAGATCTAGGTTCAAAGGGACAATATAAATTTTGAATGACTTATCAGAAGCATTGCGAAGAAATAAATATTTTACCCATTTCTATGATGAGACAGTGCTACCTACAGCGAGGATTAGGATAAGCTACGCTTTTAATGACTCTTATACCTTGAAAATTCAAGTGGGGTATGGTAGGATACTCTTAATAAAAAGTCACCTATATGAGTGTGAAGTCAGACCGCTTCTATGAGAACTATAAATGTTAAGTTTTCTAGAGCAGTCATTGAATACCAGGAGTTGTTTAGGGTTAAAATGAACATAACAATGAGAACCCACTCTGTGAGGAAGGGAACTGTGTGTTTGTTATTGTCTTGGTTTACATCAACGGATGAACAGTTCAAGATATCACGTTCATTAGTTAGCCCGTAAATCCGATAGTAATACACTAAGGAAAGTTCAAGACCAAAAGCTATCTATCCCAATGCAGTAACTTTCCGACTATACTCTCTCTAGTATCTGCATGATCATCATTTGCATTTAAGCACCCAATTTCCATTCATGCGGGGGATTGTTAGAATTTTTGAATGAAAATTATTTCATTAGTCATCAACGGATGCCTTTGACTGAACATGTGTGATCACTGGTTGGTTATGGGATGAAAAGATGCAACTCAAAATTGACAGACATAACCTATTCAATGTGAACCATTGCACTATTGCAGTGGGAGTATCCAGTGATGAATAGACACATATAAATGGTTGTGTCCAATGATGAAGAGATACATATAAATGGTGTGTCCAGTGATGGAGAGACACATATAAATAGTTATGTCCAATGATGAAGAGACACACCCAATCCGAAAAGACACTTATATTCTATAAATACCCCAATGGGTTGCCATTTGTAATTCATTCAATTCATTTTCTTCTTTCTCCCTCTCTAGACTTGAACCTAACCCAAGTGGATTCAAACTATAGGTTAAGTGGTACGAGCCACTTAGACTCTAATCGAATTTCATTGAGCAATATTAAGATTGGTCCAAACCATTTGGTTCGAATTGCACTCAATTTAGCATTTATATAGTATAAATGAATTTTTAAGTCAGAAAGAGTATTACACAGAGGAGTTTTGCTGTATTCACGAGTTTGTAGTGCTTTTACTGGTGGATGTAAACTGTTATATCCTGAGAGACAAGTGTCACAGAGTCCGTCAGCACCATGCGGGGCTTAAATTATCTTAAGGATATAGTATTTAATACTAACCTCGGTCTAGGTTCTTTATTTATTATTATTATTTTATTACTTTTTAATTTGCATGTTTAATTAAATATTGAGTTGAATATTTAATTAATTATTTTTAGCATATTATTAATTATCTCATGGCATATTAGTATAAGGTTAGTTATATCTTAAATGTCAATTAAAGCATATATTTTTTAACATTTTTCACATAAAAATTTAGGGCCTGCTTGATTTGTAATTTTGAAAATAGTTATCGGAAACTCAGAAAATAGAGAACAGTTTTCATAGAACAATAAAAGACTGATCTCTGAAAATAGGCCTTTTTTTATAATTGAGTTTGCAGAAAACAGTTTTCAGAAAACTGAACCAAGCAGAATTTTGTATAGTTTTCTGAGAACAGAAAACTGTTTTCATAGTTACAAACCAAGCAAGTCCTTAGTGTTCATGATTATTGTTTTACTTAATTTATTTCTTTATAGTTGGATGCTTTTATAATTTAAATTATTAATCACTTGTCACTCTTGCAAATTATAACAAGATAAGCAAAGTTTTTTTTTTTCAATATTAACCACATATTGATTGTTTTAATTTATAACTGAATTTTTAAAGAGTTTTGCAAGGCCCATTCACTCTCCCTCTAGGTGTAGAGGCCAATGAACCTTGCACGACTTTATTTCATAAATCCGGGTTCAATCTAGTTACGTTTCACAAACTTAAATTTGTCTTTTGTCCTCGGTTTGGCGAGACACCTAATTATTTTATAACACAAAGTTAAGCACAAAGTTGAACTTGTAGTCTATTAGTAAACATTAAAAGAGTCAACAATTCTTCCAATTTTTTAATTACATTTTAATTTTTTGCTTCTTATGATAGTGTTAGGCATTTTAGAATGGACAAAGACTGGCCTACTCACCGGTAAGTATGTCATGCACAGATGGTGAATTAGGGGTTATTCCAAAAGGATAAGACTTTGCTACTCACCGGCGAGTAGTTAAGTCTCGACTGGCAGCTGACGTGGTCCAATCACAAATGCACAAATAGTCTGTAATTATAAAATTAGAAAAATTACTCGCCGGTGAGTAACAAAGTCTTATCCTCTTAGAATAACCCCTAATTCACCGTCTGTGCATAAAAAAATCTCTCATTTAACGTGTACAGGCTAATTAATGAGCAAAATCTCCGTATTGGACCCCAAAGTTAACGTGAAAGTCTATAATACACGGGGATACCATACCCCTGAGCTTCTTAGTCTTTGATTTTGACAGTGGGACCGAATAGGGATGGCAACGGGGCGGGTTTGGAGCGGGTTTGGCTAAACCCGTCCCCGCCCCGTCTGTTTAGTGACAAATCCATACCCGCCCCATGCCCCGGGACGGGTTGAATTCTCAAGTCCATCCCCGCCCTGTTGGGAGATGACAATACCCGTGCCCGCCCCGTTAACATTTTTTTTTCTTCCTTTTTTGACTACTAGAATAACATATATATCAATCCATTGGCATATGCGGTTACCCATGTCTTCCATAGTACTAAAAATTATGAAAAAGAAAAATCAAACAAACAAATAAACAATTTACCTTTGGCGTATTCATCAAATTAGCAAGAGAAAAAAATTTCAACCAAACTCCAAGAAAAATCAGTACCAAAATATTATATGTAGAATCAGCAATTGAAAAAAATAAGAACAAACCTAAATCGACTCAAAGAGCACTAACAAAGTCGTCGCTAGTGTCTCTCCCTCTCTCATGAATTGTGAAATGGTAAATTGAGTCCAGACATCAACTGATAGACTAAAAAGTAATGGATTTTCTTCTTACCAATCTCTCTCCTACTCTACTCCTTCGTCAGAAGACAAACCCACCACTATTCACCACCACAACCCTCTTTCTCCTCACCTTTCTCCATTAATAAAACCCAGATCTTCTCTCTAAGTCGTGTTGCGCAGGTCACCCAAGCCTCAAGTACGCAGGAAAAACTTGAAGAGAATCAAGAGATCTTACCAGAGATTCAAATGAATCATTGATCTCAACTGCCTAAGTGGACCGAGAGTTTGGTTTTTGGGTAAGATGCGCCAACCCCTGTGTTATGAACTTGCGGATGTGGAGGCACTGCTACTATGCATTAGGGTTATAACTTATATAGAGTAACTTATAATATGTATGTATGTATGTATGTATATATATATATATATATATATATTTTAAAATTTAAAGAATTGTATATAACGGGGCGGGGCGGATATGAATCAGAACCCGTCCCCGCCCCGTGACCCGCGACAGGTACAAAAAATGTATCTGTACCTTCCCCAACGGTATAAAATTTGTTTCCATATTCCGATATTAATGGGGCGGGACAGGGCGGAGCCCCGGTGGGGCAGCAAAAATTACCATCCCTAGGACCGATAATTGAAAGACCCGATAATATAATACCCGAAGTATTGTAGACTCTCCAAATTAACCCATAACACCCCAAATGCTGCATATTCCCAAAAAGGCTAATTAAAAATCAAATGCTGCATATTCCCAAAGTGACAGCTGGTTAGATTTAAAAAAGAAAAAAAAGGTGACAGCTGTAAAGTAGGTAGTTTATCTTAAAAGAAAAAGAAAAAAAGTTGTAGCTTTGAAACTTGACCGGAAAGGGCAAAAAATATAAAATACCGTGGGAGCACTATTCAACTGAATCCCTCAGAAACTTCACTGCCCTGCGTACTGAAAACGAAATGAAACATCAGAGACTAAATTTGCGTTCATAATGTTCTGGGGACTCATTGACTTGTACAAATAAGTCTTCATGTGTTAGCAAGTGCCAATCTTTGCGAATTCAAGCTCTTCTGGGAGATACCCTGAGCGCTTGTGGAGGTAAGTTTCTCAACCCATTTTTGTGTGTTTTGACTTTCTTTCTTTCTAGTGAATTTCTTGTTTGGAATAGATTGAGAACATGGAATTAACTATATCCTTTATGTGTTTGGTTCCATGGAAAACCAATTGAAACAAAGGTTTCTCTTCTATTTTTTATACTTAAGAGTAATTTTCAGTATATTATTTGATTTTTCACTTGTGGGTTTTGATCAGTTTATTTAAAGCCTGGGTCTTTCACCTAAATTATAGAAATGTGTTGTAGGAGCTGCATTTTCTCACCATAACCTTTATTTATTGTTCTTTCTGAGTGTATTGTTTGGTTGAATTCAATTAGTGAACTATTCTCTCATTATGTTTTGTTTCCTAGGAAGTAACTACAACTAGGATTTCAAATAATATGTTGATATTTGCATCTAATTGAACTTGGTTTTTTGGACAATGGGACCTTTTCAATTTGGTTAGGACCTAAAAATTATCTTCTAGGTTATTTTTCTTCATTTTGAAACCTTATTTTGTAACTACTTACTGTAGCTTGGAGTGTAAAACTGAATGGAATTGGGCCTTAATTTGATTTTAGGAACAAGGTCTATGCTTTTAAATTTGATGGCGTATTTTTCTCTTTTGTTCTGCCCTTGGCCAATTATGAGTTATATTTTTTTGCTTGTATAAACTTTATTTTTGTTTTTACTCACTTCCTCTCAAATTTGTGTTATGTATAAAAAAGAACATGAGAGTTCTGTTTACAGGTTTATTGGATTGATTTCTTGTTTTCTGTTAACAGAAGTTAGAAAATGCAGGCAAAAGAGGAAAGTAGGTAAATATGTTGCTGAAAGCGGAATATGTGCTGTGGTTTATAAGCTTTGATTTTAAGTCGAGGATATGATCCAAAGTCTTTGGTTTTGATAAAGAATTTGGTTAGAATAATCCAATGGCAGTGGAGCTCATACCGATTGGTACCATCTTGGCTCTGCTTACACACCAGGTCATTAAAACAGCTCAAGCTGCCAAAGATGTTGTCTTCGAGAAAGAAAGTTTTAAGGTTTTGTCAAAGCATCTTTTCGATATCGAAGCTGTTCTAAGGGAATTGCAGCTTCAAAAACTGAATGATTCACCAGCTGCTAGGCAAGCTTTGGAGTTCCTTGAGGCAGATGTCAAGAAAGCTAATAACTTGGTTGAGAAGTATAAAAGTCGAACCCGTTTCTACTTGCTGGTCAAGTGCCGACATATTGTCAAGGAGGTACAAGATGTCACAAGGGATATTGGAAAGTCATTGGATGCTTTATCCCTTGCAAACACTGAAGTCCTATCAGGTATATCTGACCAGGTGAATAGGTTACAAAATGAGATGCAAAGAGCAGAATTTGAGACTTGTCAGTCTCGGCTCCAAATTGTTGACAAGTTGAATCAGGGTCTTGCGGAGCAGAAATTTGACCAGGGTTTTGCTAATGACATCCTTAAAGAAATAGCAAGGGCAGTTGGGGTAGTTGAACCCTTGGAGATAAGCAAAGAGCTGGAAAGCTTCAAAAGAGAAAAGGAAGAAGCTGCCAATAGGAAAGAAAGGGCTGAAGTTTATTTGTTGGAGCAGGTTATTGAGCTGCTCTCTCGAGCTGATGCTGCAAGGGATTATGAAGAAATTAAGAAGCTGTATTTCCAAAGGCTTCAGGTCATAGAGGGATACAATCCAAGAGAAGAATATATTAGACCGTTCAAAGCTTTCACTTGTTGTATAACTGGAGATGTGATGGTTGATCCTGTCAGCCTATGCACAGGTACTGCGTGTGAGAGAAAAGCACTGGAAGCTTGGTTTGACAGTGGGGAGAAGACTGATCCAGACACGGGTGATCCCCTTGAGGATTTTTCTTATAGGTCTAACCTTCAGCTTAGACAATCGATCCAGGAGTGGAAAGAACTCAACTATTGCATCAAAATCAGATCCTGCAAGGCAAAACTGCTATCTAATGTGGACTCGTCTGTGGAAGAGGCACTTGGCCAAATACAGGGGCTCATGAGAGAAAATTCTATCAACAAAGACTGGATTTCCATTGGTGGCCTTACTGATATCATTGTCTCAATCATTGAAACTTCACACAACAATAATATGAAAAGAAAGATATTAATAACCTTAAAGGAAATAACCGAAGGACACGCAAGAAATAAGGTTAGCAGTCCTATCTCAAGTCAACTCCCCTTAATTCCAACTATACTGAGTTCATTATATCAACCCTTTATTAAATACAAGGAAAACATGTTCTTTTTCATAGCTTCTCTTTCACCTTCCTTTTGTCCTTTTAGCTCCTTCGAGTTGAATTAACTCATTCCTCCATGTCAGTGGCATTAGTTGATCTATGTTGCACACGGACAAACAATTCTAAATATGTTTCTTCATCTTATCATGTGATGCATTTGCTTTCTTAGTCTTATCTTTACTTGCATTGTCACTAGTGCATCGCACTGCCCTGATTTTGGTTACATTGCCTTCTTGTTTTTTCTTTTAGCATTTATTCGCTGTTAATTATCCAACATTTTGTAGTCAAAAGCATAGCTAGCCTTATAGTTGTCATAGAGCAACCTTCCTTCAGGCTTCAACTCATATGCATTTTGCCTGAAGTCGTTGTCCTTGCTTCTCTTTTTGTGCTAGCAATTCCTACAACAATAGTCCATATCACAATCTTGGTTGAATTCAGGGTTTATTAGTAGTATATCAGAAAAATATGTGACATTTGGATTCAAAATATTTCTGGTATTATTTATAGATGGAGTACATGAGAAGCAATATACCTAATACTCATAAAAAGAACTTGCATATTCAGTGTTGTTTCATGTAACTATTGCCACTGGTATGACAATCGTTTATGTGAAGTTGCTAGGTGTGAAAGGAATTCTCTATGACGTTTGAAAAAAAGAAAAGAAATTCTTTTTTGACTGAACTATATCATGACTAGATTTGTGAGCTTGAGTTCCTATAAAGTTTCACAGTTTTCTTTGTCTATTTTGAAAAAAAAGAGAGAAAAAAAAAAAAAAAAAAAAAAAAAAAAAAAAAAAAAAAAATGAAGCTTGCTTCACATTATTCTAAGACTAACTTTTTAAATAAATTTTTATAGGATATAGTGGCGGAGTCCCTGTGGTTTAAATGTATCATTCCATGCTTAGGGTGTGATTCAGGCATTTCAGATGCTGCAGTCGAGCTGCTATATGAGTTATTGCGAGAGAGATCTGGTTGGAACATGTCTGTTTGCAGCAAACTTTCTCAGCAATGCAGTGCAATTCTTTTCCTTGTTTCCCTCCTGAAGGGTCCAGTGAGGGAGTCAGCAGAGAAAGCAAATGAAATCTTGATGAAGCTTTGTGATGAAGATGAGGAAAATATTATTCGTGCTGCAAAGGCGGACTGGTATAAACCACTTACTGATCATATTCTTCAAGGTTAGTGAACCCATTCCTTTTGGTTTATCTGGGAATACATTTCATTGTGATGTCTAATATAATTTGTATAAACTTATTGATTGCACAGTTCCAGGTTGGGGAATGTTTTCCCACAACAATCAGTAGATTTTGTACGTGTTTGCAACAAATCGTCCCCCACCCTCCAAAAAAAGAGAAAAAAATTATGTTCATCAGTTAGTGAAAGCATATTGATATTATATCATGCCATTTTGCTTTTAACATGGTTTCCAGAAAGCCATCATCCCAAATTATGACAAAGAGAATCAAACACGGCAGTTGATGAATTTAGAGCTGAATTTCTTTTTGAAAGAATTCAGCAAACAAAACTCAAGAATGAAACATGGGGGCTCCTTTCCGCTTCTATTTGAGCAATGGTATTATCTCCTTTCAAGTGGGAGGTCAAAGAGTGCTGATAGCCTGATTTTGTTGTTCTGTCATCTGTGCTGGGTTATATTGTGTGTGTGTGTACTAGATTGTGTTGGTAAATTATTCTTTTCTCTCGTGTTAATATGACATAAGATCTTCTTTGTCCTGTTTAGCATCAAATAAAAAGCTGTAGTCCATAGTTAAATTCGTTTTTGACATAAAGTTGATCTAAACTCTAAAGTTAGATCATTCTCATATTTTTCAGGGTCGGAATCGTCAAGGAGATCGATGGCAAGAGCACTTGTTGGTATGGAACTGGCTGAGCAGAATATAAAGCTCCTTGGTGAGGAAGGGGTAATACCTCCTTTGCTCGAAATGGCATCTGGTGATATTGAATCAAAAGAATTGTCCTTATCTGCATTGGTGAAGTTATTGGGCCATCATGAAAACAAGAAACTTATTGCTGCTGCTGGTGGAGTTCGTCTTGTTCTGGAACTGATGTTCTCTTCCCACATTCGGACAATTATTATTGCTAAATGCTCTGAAGTCCTTGATAGACTTTCTTCGAATGGTGATGGAACTAAATTCTTTGTTGATGAGAATGGGACTGAACTTGAGTTAGAGCGAATCATCACCAACTTGTTAGATTTCCAACAAAACCAAAGCACATCCGACAATGTCAGGAGGCCTGCTCTGCGTGCCCTTCTTGGAATTTGTCAATCTGATGCTAAGCACATTAAGACGGCCGTGCTCACTGCCAATGGTGTTTCTGTAGTCCTTCCTCTTCTTGATGACTCCAATCTTGAAATCCAGCAGGTTGCAATAAATCTTCTCTTCCTCTTCTCCCAGCACGAGCCACAAGGAGTTGTTGAATACCTTCTCAAGCCGAGGAGACTAGAGGCTTTAGTGGGTTATCTTGAGAATGAAAGTAACAAGGACGTTCAGATGGCTGCAGCTGGTTTATTAGCCAATCTTCCAAAGTCTGAAGAATCTCTCACGATAAAGTTAATCAAATTAGATGGACCAAACGCTATCATAAAAGTCTTAAGATGTGGCACCATGGAAGCAATAGAAAATGCTTTAAGTGCTCTCTTCAGGTTCACAAATCCCACAAATCTTGAGTCACAGCAGATTGTGGTTGATCAAGGAACATATCCTTTGCTCGTAAATTTCCTCAGGAGTGGTTCAGTGACGGCAAAAGCAAGAGCAGCAGCTCTCATTGGCAACCTTTCTGCAAGCAGTCCAAAACTCACTGTTGTGTCCCGAAAATTTGGCTGCTGGTGTTTCCATCGGGCACATGACCCTGTATGCTCAGCACACGGGGGTATCTGCAGTGTGTCTACTTCATTTTGTATGTTGGAGGCAAATGCTTTGCCTGAGCTGGTGACAATCTTACAAGAGAAGGAGCATGCAACATCTTATGAAGCAATTCAGGCACTTCACACTCTGATTCGGAAGGACTCTCCTCAAAGAGGAGCCAATGTCCTGCATGAGTATGGTGCCATTAACCCCATATTGGACATTTTGACTTGGGGTACGGGTTCTTTGAAGGAAGAGGCTTTGGGGCTGTTGGAGAGTGTTTTTATGTCGAAGGAAATGGTGGAATACTATGGATCAACAGCTAGGTTACCGCTTTCTCTCCTGTCTACAGGTAGCATTCGTGAGGAGGGACATCTTCAGAGGAAGGCTGCTAAAGTCTTTTCACTCATTGACCGTTCTTCAAGATCATCAAGATCCCTAAATCCTGGACTTCACGGGTGAAAATCCTTGTGATCACACTGTAATAGATTTATCCAACATTTTCTGGAAGTAATTGACTGTCCACTGCATCAAGTATATTTAGTACAAGTAAATGCTTTATTACTTCCACTTGATAGTTCATTTTGTTTTCTCTTTTATTTGATTCAAATATGAAACCTACTATTCCTATGTTCATTAATACCTGTATCAAATTCCCTGAAGATCATCACATCTTTCACTGTTACCCCTATTCCCTAGTGCAAATTTACTCTAATGGGGAAGAAGAATGCAAACATATAGCTATTGTTGGCAATGTCTGTAATAGGACTGACTGCAAAGAGGAGAGATTGAGCACTCTTGTAAACCTGTAATTCTTTTTTTTGGTTGTGGATTTTGATTTTTCTGTGTTTTGCATTGTTGTAGTTGTGTATTCTTGTGTTTCATATTTTTACCGCTTTCATGCTTGATCGTTAAAAAACTAGAGCACATGCTATGGAAAATTATATAGTAATTACTTCTTAATGTTTGTATTGCAAGCATGGTTTGTCATATCGGCTGACGGCTCTTTTTCAAGTCTGATGCGTGAACCGTAATAACCAATTTATACTGATTTTATTCGAGTCTGTTATGCGGCGGCCGCCGATGTTTCTTGCTCTGTTTAATGGATTGTTTCTTTAGATAAATATATCTCTTGCTCTCTCTATGTATATCCCGGTCAACATGTATTGGAATTTAAATAAACTGGTACATCTAAATGTTTATATGTAGAGAGAGAAGTGAAAACAAAAAGGAAGAAAGTTGTGACAGAGGCTCGCATATATTAATTTTACAGTAGTAGATTTAAATGATTAACTACTTGACTTGTATAATATTTAAGATGAAATAAATTTTACCATTGATATATATAATATATGTTTGAGGAGTCAGAGTGATAGTTTTGTGGTATCACTTTTCTTTACAAGTATGACCAATTTTGCCTTTCTCTTTCCTGATTATGATCATTGATCCTTATTGTTGGATGTGATATCACTTTTCTTTGTAAGTAGACGGTTTGAATGGATCAACTTACAGGAATTAGACCCAAAATTAGGACCTGCTGCATCATGCTATGAGAGTCTTAGGAATCTAGTCCACTCTTGTGGATCTTGGTTGGTGTTCTTGTGTGACATATCGCATTGTGGGGTGAAGATGTTAACACTTATAAGGGGATGCCCCCTATCTGTATAGACGCGTTTTGAAAATCATAAATACGAAAAGTGTACAATGTGAGTAATATCTACACAGCGTGAGTCGAACCCTTATTGATGGCATCAGAGCCAATTCCTAGTCAGAATTGGGAAGAGCGTGCACACGCCAATAAGGGTCAAGCCAGAAAGACGTTGGGTCCCAAGAGACGGGGATTGTGTCTTCCCACATGATTGTATTGGAGTGATTGTGTCTTCCCACATGATCGCATTGTTTGGGCTGTGAAATGACACTTATTTTCACAAATTAACTTTAAAATATTATGAGTACATAAAACCCAAATGGGATAACTTTATTTGATTTCTAGTAGGGGTGGCAAATTAAGCACATACTCATTAAACTACTCAAACTTGTCCACTAAAATTAAATTATTTGGACGCTCAACTTTAAGTGAGTGAATAAAAATGGATAAAAAGTGGGTATCCATACAATTCAATGATCAATGATGGGTTAAAAGTGAATACCCATCTTAACCCACTCAAATAAAACCCTCTTTTCTTTCTCCTCCATTTTCTCTCTTCCCTTTCTCTCTCTTCTCTTTCCCCGACTTTTTTATTCTTTTCTTTTTTTTTTTTTTTTTCCCCTGCGTCCTCTTACCTCGCTGCTTTTTTTATTTTATTTTATTTTTTTTTGCATTCTCTCTCCTCGTTGGTTTTCTTTTTTTATTTTTATTTTTTTTATATTTTTGGGTGATAACTCTCTCTCTTCACTTTTCCTTCGAATTTTGTTTCAACAATTAATTATAACTCTTGCTAAAAATTTTTTTTTTAAAATATATCTAATTAATATTGTTGAGTAAGTTGTACAGTGACTTTTTCCAAAAAAAAAATTGTAACTCTTGAAATCAAAAAATTAATTAACACTGTTGATTAAGTTGTATAGTAACTTTTCCCAAAGGAGAAAAGGAAGGAAAAAAAAAAAAAAAAAAAAATTGTAATGCTTGGAATAGAAAAATTTAATGTAAGAACAAATGATTAATTTTTTTTTAGCCATAGATGTTAGGAACATAAAAAATTTGCAAAAGTAAAAATAAAAATAAAAATAAAAACGGATTGAATGGGTTAACCCGTTTTGACCCGGTCCATATAAGTCCTATCCATTTATGATCCACTATTGGTAGGTTGAGAATGAATTACTGACCCATTCATACTCAACCCATTCCAAACCCACCTAATTACCATCCCTAATTTCTAGAGCTCTTTAACATTGAATCCAGGGAGTTCATTATTGCCACATTGTTTGCTTAATTATTTCAGAGTAGTCCTATTTTACTCTTTTTGCCTTTCCAGGTTTTGCTCAATATCATGTATGCTATATGTGTTTTGAGAAAAATGGTATGACAGAGAACAAAAATGACAGCATTCTATTCATTGGCACCGACAAACTCTCTTTATTGATCTCTCCTCTAAAAATCTTGACACAGCTATGTTGTTTGAGTAATGTTCTTTTCCCTTTTTCTGTTGTGAAGGTTTTGTGGGTTGAAAATTTGATAGCGTAAAAAAAATGAAAATAAATAAATAAGACATGATAAATTTTAAAAGCGTACATGAAAGCCCAAATAAGTAATTTGAACGGGACATTCATGTTGGGTGTTTTAGTCTCATTTAATTATATTTTTGGGGTTGGGCCTAGCTGCTCGCACCCTTACTGTTGTAATCCCTGTTTGATTCGGCAATTAATTGGCCCATTCCCCCACTTTATACATTTTAATTTCAATCAATATATATATATATATTAAAATGATGTCCAATAAAAATATTTTCTAAAATATACCTCATGTTGTGTCTCAAGTATTCAAGATCAATCGATGCATAATGCTACACACAGGACACGGGTAGAATGCCAAAGACCGATTAATTAATAAAATAAATTACACTAATGAGGTCTCCTAAATATATATCAACTTTTCTCATTATTCGTCAAATTATACTTACTTTTCTTGAAATTTGTATATAAATAAGAGTAATACATACCTCTCCTTCATTAACTGTCAATACGGGTCAATAAGGTTAACCGAAAAAAAAAAAAAAAAAAAATGATGATGCCAGCAATTTTGTAACTATCAATTTTCAATTATACTCTTGGAAGACATGTTTTTTTTACAACAAAATACAATATATATGAGAAACGTAATTATAAACCTGACAAATTTGATAGGAAGGTCGGTGTAATTTGACAAATAAGAGGAGAGGTTAATGTATACTCACGAGAGGTTAGTATAATTTACCCAAATTAATATGTATAATGTGGATTCATTTCTCAAATAAAGAAAATTATTGTATTGAAGCCAATGTGTATTGTGTCTTAAATAAAGATTTTTTTTATAATTATTTTTCAAATAAAGAATATAGTTTATGTCCTATAAAGTATTTTTATGTAGGGTAAAGTGCAAAAATACCATACTATATAAAAAATGTGCAGAAACACTCTCGATTGTTATAAAGTGCATATAAATCCTTATATTTTGAATATTTATGCAAATTGCCTCTGGTGGTCAATTTGACCAATTTTTTTTTATATAAAAATCCCATAATACCCTTAAGGGAATTTTAGGGATTTATTTTTTTTAGTAAATCACAAATAAAAATTAATTAATAAAAAATTTAAATTTTACAATAAAAATAAGTAAAATAAATAGTAAAAATAAAAAACTAGGGTTTTTATACAAAATTAAAAAAAAGTCTTTCTATTTTTATTTATTTTTAAATTATTTGATTTTATTTTAAAATATATATTTTTTAATTTTTATTATTCTGTATTTAATTTTTATTTTTACTTTGATTTACGGGCATTTTAGATATTTCAATTTACAATTTGAAGAATTGTTCTTATTTACTCAATCTGAAAAATGTAGGGACTTTTTTGAATACTAGAGAAATATTTGCCCATTTTGTACATGGCAAGGGATTTTTTTTTTTTTTTTGGCAATTTACCCTTTTGTTTATGAAAAGAACTATGAGTACTTTAATTCTAAATTAAATATCATTATGTTGAAGCCAATATACATTATGATTAAATTATGTTACATATACTTATATTGCATCGATGTACAACTTATAAGACATAAAAAATTAATTCTATTGTAGACACTAAAATTTCATTGGCTTTTGTCTTGATAAATTGACTCATCAAATATAGGTCTCATATTTAATTAATTTATTTAATTGGCTCAAACTTGATCAACTTAAATTATTTAATTAGCCCAGTCTAGTTAATTAAATAAAAAGATAATTATTTTCAATTAAATATATTTGGGAAAAATTATTTTAATGGATAATTATTACAATATAGCCGGCCTAGTTATAATTGTGTCGTAATCAAGAATGGATACATGTCATCGTCCTATTCATCCAAGAAGTTTATAAATAGAGGCATGGAGGAAGGAGGAAGAGGTCCAGCAATCGAGAGACTCAGATATCCGAAGTCTAGAAATTTAGAGACAGGAATCCAGAGGGGCCAGAAAATTCAGAATTCCAAAATAAAATACAGAAACTCTGCCGACATTCATCTCCAACACATAAGCCTAAGCCTTGAAGAAGAACAACAACAAGCACAATTAAAGCCGTGCCGTTCTTTCACAAATTCAACAAATTCTCTGAAGACGAAGAACAACAAGTACATCCAAAGTCGTGCCGTTCTTCCTCAAATTCAACAAAAAACAACAAGTACACTAAAATCGTACCGTTCTTTCTTTGCGATTCAACAAGTTTGAAGAATTACCAAATAACATTGTTCGAGATCAAACTTTTTTAGCCCTGGATCAAAAATCATTGGCGGTCTTCCTCAACTACAAATACTTGAAGAAGACTCTTGACAAACCGGTCAAGATCAAGCTCCAACATCCATTGGATCCAACCAACAAAGGAGATCGAATTAGAGAATTTTTTCTTTCTTTTGCAAAGAATACTTTAGAGGATTGTACTCGAATTTTCATAAATTGATAAAATTATTATTTGCCCCATATTTCGTTCTTTAATTTGTAGATACAAAATTTGTGTGTACATCTATGTACACTAGTTTGTAGCTAAACAAAAACTTGAGCGAAGCTGTGTAGATATTTATAACTGTTGAAATGACACATTGTAATAGGTGGACGCTTACCCATTTATCCAAAAGTTCATGCTATTAGGTAGTGCTGCATATCCACCCATTTATACATACTTTAACCCACATCCAAATCCGATG